GAACCTTGAAAATGATCACATTTATTGAATTAGAAACTATCTTCTACTATTTATTATATATAATATGTACACATAAAACTAGAAACAATTTAATGGCTGACATTATAATAATTAAATGATACATCTATATAAAATATTTATTAAAAATTTTAACACATAGAAAACATGTGCATGGGTGTTGTGGTGCACACCTGTGATCCATGCATTCAGGAGGCTGCTGCAGGAAGATTGCTGCAAGTTCAAGGCCAGCCTGGGCTACAAAGTGAGTTCAAGGCCAGTCTGAACTGCATAGTGAAACCCTGTCACAGAAAGATAGGTAGATAAAGACATATCCTCCAATATACTTTATTTTTTCCCTTTCATATAATTTAAATCATTTCTAGATTACTCAAATATCTAACGTACAATGTAAATGCTATGTAAATAGTTGTTATACTGCATTTCTTAGGGAATAATATCAGGAAATAAATTCTGTATGTCCAGTACAGATGCAAATTTATAAAAAAATAATTTTGATCTAGGGCAGTTAAATCTGTGGATGTGGCCACTGCAGATATAATTAGATAAAGAATATATCAACTATGTAGACTAAGCATAACAAAAGACTAAAAATCTGATCCTCAGCACCAGACACACACACACACACACACACACACACACACACACACACACCTGGAAAAAAGTAAAAATTTTCATAGTGGTTACCTCAATCTGGAAAGTTATAAGGCTTTAATAGAAAAAGAGTGATTACTTGCAAGCCCTCTCCTACGTATGATCTGGGATCAAAAGCTATTGTAGGCTCCCGCAATGCTGCATTTATTGCAAAAAAGAGCCACTCACTACTTGTCTTACACTGCTGTAATTTTTTCTTCATTGACTTAATATTGACAAGAATTTGTAAGATCTTTTCTTCTCTGTTGTTTTAGGGTGAGGTTTGGGGTTTGGGAGTTTGGAGATGGAACTCAGGACCTCTCGTATTCTAGGCAAACCCACTAACAGTGAGCTATATCTCCAGGTCCATTTTTTTTTCCTTTTTGAGAAGGGTTCTCAGTATGTTGTCTAGTCTCTTTTGAACTTTCTGGGGTCAGGCAATTCCCCCACCTCAGCCTCCAGAATATCTGGAAAGAGCAATGTGCACTACTGCACCTGCCTCAATTTAGCAAGTTTTCTTGGATTTGATTTTGTAGTTTATTTATCTTAGGGCCTCAAAGGAACATGGGTACTGAAATCAGGGAGGGATACTCTACATTAATGTTAAATATTGAATACTGTGCTAAATTTAAAATGTTTAAAATATGAGAAGCATATTAAAGACCCCACTACAATTGCATTGATATCCTTTTATGTCAAGTAGTTCTTTGTAATGCAATTGTGTACATTGACATTAGAACTATGTGTATACATAACTGTTATTTTTTTTGGTAAATGAAAAATTTACCAAAACTAAAGGAAATACCTTTAATAATAATATGTAGTGACCATCTTTGTTTCTTCTGATCAGATAAGTCAGCCAGATAAAATTATCAATAAAGAAACATCAGCATTGGAGCACACCATAGAACAAATCCATTTATCAGGTATCTTCAGTAGCTCATAGAACTTTCTCCAAAACAGAACATGTTTTAGGCCATGAAGCATGTCTCATCAAATACAAAGAATGAAATATTATTTTGGATCCTATAAGATCATAACAGAATAAAACTAGAAATCAACAGCATAAGAAACCATAGAAACTACACGAACATATGGATCATTCTTCAATGATCAATGGATTACACAACCAATCAATGAAGAAATTCAAAAATTCCTAGAATCAAACTATATGGTAATATAACATTTCAGAATCTGTAGATCACAATGAAATCAGTTCTAAGAGGGATGTTTATAGCTGTGAATGCCAGTATTAGTAAAACACAGTGATCACAAATAACTTAATAATTCTCCACAATGTCCTAGAAAAACAAGAGCAATTCAAGCCCCAACTAGAGGGAAAGAAAGCAGAAGGAAAGAAATTGTAAAGATCAGGATGGACATCAATGAAATTAAGAGCAAAATAATACAAAGGATCAATGAATAAGAGTCCTTTGAAGAGATAAAGAAGATTGATCAACAGGCCTAAGGGGATTTCACTGACCTTATCAGACCCAAAAGCTACACCTCTTGTTGCATAGGTCCTGCTTTACCTTGGTCTTAACCATCCAGCAGAAAAGTAAAAAAACGAAGTATAAGAAGTAAAGCCATGCTGTTATGTTGAGCTGTAGGGGACTCAGGTCAACAATTTCTGACAGTGCTAGTCAAGCAGAAGCCCCAATACTATTATGGACTACTGGACTCTTTTAGAATATTTTGCTGAGTTAACACACCTATAATATTTAAATGATGGAACTTAACAAAAAAAGGGGATACAGATGAATGTCTGTTTTGTATCTGTGTATTCAAAATGGTTAGGATAAATATATAGTTACATTCTCTTAATGAATAGAGGGATTTGTTGTAATAGTGTTTGTAAATAGGATATCATGTCTGCATGTTGTACAGCAGTTAATCACTAGGAAGAATGTATGCAATGTGTTAATTATTGAAACTGTCCTACCAATTTGATTTGAAACTTTCTCATTGCTGTTTATTTCTCAATAAAATTATGGAAAAAAAGAAATGGAAAGGGCAAAATTAATTAAAAGTGACATCACTGAAATCTATAGGATTGTAAGAAACTGTTTTGAAAAAGTATAATCCAATAAATTAGACAGTACAGAAGAAATGGACAAATTCCTAGATACATATGACTTATCAAAATTGAACCAAGAAAGTATAAAAAGCCCTAAATAGACCAATAATAGGCAATGAAATTGATGCAACAACCTTTCATGATAAAAATTGGAAAAAATATGTACAGGAAGACCTTACTTCAAACTGGTAAAAGCCATTTATGATAAACATATAGCCAATATAGCTGAATGGAAAAACAGAAAGATTCACTGAATTTCATTCTCCAATTGACAGAGTCTGTCAAAAAGAAGTATGTACACTTCTGGAAAAGAAAATAGTGTTTTCAGATGGTATTACTCTCACATGGGGGTCCCTAGAAGAGGTCATATATTGCAAAAAAAAAAAAAACCCAAAGCCCACTACACTAATGGCCTTTGGAGAAAAAACTGCAAACACATGTGTGGCAATCTCAGTGACCAAGGTTACCCAAGCAGCAGTTCGCCATCCTAACAAATTTTTGGAAGCTAATAGCCATCATTTTGAGCACCTCCTGTAATTGTAGAGGCCAAAGGTAACTTGTATTAATCTCATGATATCACAATAAAATTTGTATTAAAATATTTACATGTTTTTCTTGAAATGTGTATTTTTTGGCATACTCTGTAGTATGTGAAACTTTATTCAGATTAGGTGAGAGAAAGAAATAAAAGGTAAGGAAGAAGTAAACTTAGCTTTATTTGCAGATCACATGATCCTTTAAATAGAAGGCCAAAAATATTCCACCAGAAGACTCTCAGAGCTAATAAACAAGTTCAGCAAAATGGCGAGGTACAGAATAAATACATAAAAATCAATAGTATTCCTATAAACCAATAATGAATTCACAGTGAAAGAAATTAGGAAAATAACCTTTCACAACAGCTTCAAAACAAATACCTAGGAATCAGCCTATGGAGGTGAAAGGTTTCTATGATGAAAATTATAGTACTTTGAAGAGGACAACAGAAAATAAAAAGACATCTGTTGCACAGGCAGAATCAATATCCAGAAAATTGCCATATTATCAAAGAGATTTACAGATATAATAATATTTCTACCAAAATATCAACAACATTCTTTACAGAACTATAAAAAAATCTTAAAATTTATATGGAGCCCGAAGAGGCCCAAAATAGCCAAAGAAATCCTGAGCAAAATGAACAAAGCAGGAGGCATAACAATCCCAGATTCCAAGTTATAGTACAAAGCCATTTTAACAAAAACAGCATAGTACTAGCACAAAAATAAACAAGCAGACCAATGGAATAGGATAGAAGACATAGAAAAAAAATCCAATGTACTTCTAGACATCTGATCTTTGACAAAGCTGTCAAAAACATATGCTGGAGAAATGATAGCCTCTTTAACAAATGAATGCTGGGAAAACTGATTATCCACGTGCAGAACAATAAATCTAGACTCATGCCATTCATTCTCTGTTATAATCCAACCAAAATAAATCAAAGGCCTAGGTGTCAAAAGAGATATAAAAACACACACACAAAAAAATCCTGATGTTGCTGGAACATAACATAAAGGAAACACTTGACTCCATAGAGATAGGCAAGCACTTTCTGAACAGAACCCTAACAGTACAAGAAATACCAGGTACCAACAAATTGTATTATATTAAAAAGTATTTGCAAGGCAAAGGAAACAGTAAAGAGACAACATACAGAATGTGAGGAAAGGTTTGTCATCTATTCTTCTGCTAGAGGACTAATACCTAGAAAATACAAAGAACTCAAAAATTAAACCCTCCTCAAAATAAATGGCCAAATCAAAAACTGGGCAAAATATAGCCAGGTGTGGTGGTGAACATGTGTAATCCCAGCACTCTGGAGGCTGAGGCAGAAATATCACCATGAGTTCTACGCCAACCTGGGCTCTATATATTGAGTTCATAGCCTGTCTGAAATACATATGAGTCCCTGTTTTTTAAAAAAGGGCAAATGAAATGAACACATACTTCTTCAAAAACAGAAATTCGAATGGACAAGTACTGTATATAAAAAATATTCAGCATCATTAGGCATTAGGGAAATGCAAGTTAAAACAACTTTGAGATCCCATCTTATTCTAGTCAAAAGGGCTATCATCAAGAAAACAAAAAACAAAAAACGTTGGGCAAGATGTGAGGAAAGAGGAAATCTATATTGTCAGTGAGAATGTACAGTAATATTATCACTATAGAAATCAGCATGAAATCCTCAAAAAACAAAACACAGAAAATCATTTGAACTAGCTTTTCCTTTTTTGGGTACACTTCCAAAAGAATTAAAGTCTTCATTTCATACATATTCATGTTTATAGCAGTGCCATTTATAATAGCTAACCTATTTAAGTATCCTAGATACCCATCAACAAATGGATAAATTATATATATATTACACATATATATGAATTTACTCAGGTACAAAAAAGAACAAATTCCTATCATTTGTAGAAAAATGGGTGGATTTTGGTACCATAATATTAAGTGAAATAAGTCATGTCTTGATAGTTAAATATTACAGGATTTCTCTTATATGAGAAATCCAAAATATGAACAAAGAGCAAAGAAGAGGTGATAAGATACAGTGAGGCAAATGTTGGAGATGAGGATGGGCATTAGGGGAAATGGGCAAGGAGGTGGAGGGATAAGAGGATAAAAATGAACAAGATATTATCCATGTAAATAAATTTCCCAAAGCACATGTAAATATTATGCATCACAAGCATATATCAATAAAAAATTAGAAAAATATGTAAGCAATTATGTTGTTTTACATGGATTATTTTACTTAATATCTTCAGTAGCAAGGAAAAAAGGTAGAAAAATTACAGGGGGCTGGGGATCGTAGCTCAGTGATAGAGGACTTCCTAGTGTGCATGAGACCCTGAGTTGTTTTCCCAGTACAATAAAGACAGACACATGCGCAAGTTCATGTAATGAAGATAAGCCAGGATTCATATTCAAGTAAGCCCGATTTGAGAGTATACACTCTATACTACATTCTATTGCCTTTAGTTACATGGTAGACTAATTTATTCCTTATGCTTTTCTATATTTCCCCCTAATGCTCGATGCCTATTACTCAAGGGAAGGTTGTACATTTATTCAGAGACAAACAGGGACATTAGAATAGCTGTTGTAAAGTGTTTATGTGTCTCTATTGTACTGGGGAAAGAACTTAGGGTCTTGTGCATGCTAGGCAAGTCCTCTACAACTGGGCTACAATCCCTAGCCCCCCATAGTATGTAAGAGTCAGAATCCTTATCATGGTCTATAGAGCATGATCTATTTGCCTTTTACAATTTCAACTTTTGTATCCATTTTCATTCCTTAAGATAGGAACAGTGTCACAAGTAACTCTACCTAGTACCTGGTTTTGCTTACATACATAAAGTTTAGGCTAGAGTAAATTAAATGCTTACCTGAAGAACTTACTCTTCTCCCCAGTTCCAGGAAAGAAAGACCTAAAATAAGGCCAAAAGCTCATAAAAGTAACTTTTTAAAGGAGAGTGAACCAAGTCACCTTGAGTTCTTGGAGCTGATCTGGTTCATAAAGCTGGGTAGACACTGCCTGTGCAAGGAAGGTGTCTAATTCATGGCGATGGAGGATTCGGGTGCCAGGCCACTGAACCATGTACCTAGAAAGTAAAAGTATTACTGTGTTACAAAGCCTCATGTATTCATGTCACAAAAACTTATTACAATCTATCACTGGACAAATCCAAAGTTAGGTTTTGGCAACTCCAACAGAATCAAGAAAAGAATCTAAAGCCAAGCATGGTATGTACCCCTGTAATCCCAGTACTTGGGATGCTGGGGCAGGAAGATCATTGTGAGTTCGAGACCAGCCTGGGCTAGAAAGTGAGCCCAGCCTGAGCTGCATAGCAAGTTCCTGTCTCAAAAAGACAAAAAAAAACCCTCTCTACCTTTGCATGCTAGGCAAGTCCTCTACAACTGGGCTATAATCCCTAGACCCCCCATAGTATGTAAGAGTCAGAATCCTTATCATGGTCTTTCTTTTACTTTGATTATCTGCACGCTTGGTGGTAGGGGAGACATGTCTGTGCATCAGAAATGATAGGAGAATGCATTAAGTACTAAGATGGAAGAATGCACAGGTTGCTAGGAGCACACAGAAGACTCCCACAACTGTTAAGAATGAGGGAAGGTATTATGAAAAAGTGATTAAGAGCTGAGTTACAAGAGATCTGAAAGGGCCGGGGAGATGGCTCAGGAGAATACGTGCTTCCCTGGCAAGGGCAAGTGTCTGAGTTCAATCCCCAGTTCTGCCAGAGAGAGAGAGAGAGAGAGAGAGAGAGAGAGAGAGAGAGAGAGAGAGATCTGAAAATTTAGTGAGACTCTGAGTAGGGAAAGGATGCTTTAGGCTGAGAGAAGAGTATGTATAGAGGCATGGAGGGGTGATATGGCATGCATGACATACCTGTCTCAGTCTCACTGTAACTAAACATGTTTGGAGTGGTAACAGGCAAAATCAGAAAGTAGATCAGCTCATAGAGGGTCTCCAAACAAAATTATGGAGTTTGGATCTTTAGTCTGAAACTGTAGGAAGACATCTTAAGGATTGTTAGCAGGACAGGGATGTTGACTGACTCAGGGGAGAAAAGCCAACAAACATGGATACCATTTGTGAGGTGACTGAATTTGTAACCAAAGACAGACTGAACAAAGGCATTCAATAAGGACATGGGATAGTACAGGAGTCAAAACCACGATTATAAAAGAGATACATTCATAAAACTTGGTCATATAATTGTTCATGATAGTGGAGAAGAAACTCAGGGCCTCATGCATGCTAATCTAGGGTTCTACCACTGAGCTATATTCTTGGCCCTGCATACTTTTGCATGGAAAGGGAGTGAAGGGAAGAATTGAAGACTTAGAATTTTGGTTTGGTTGAATAGGGGAACATTTTCTAAGATACAAAAATCTACTAATTAAATAAAAAACTACTCACTGATATTTGAATGGATTGTCCATGAACTGAATATGCTTTATTGCTCTAGAAAACGAGAGTATAGAAACAGGAAGAAAAAGACAGAAGAAAAATACCACTATGTCAATAAAGTTCTATGCTTAGCTACTTGAATGCCCACAAGACAATGAACATACATAATGACTGGCATTGTGTAACATATGAAACTCAGCATTAAAGCAAGGGGTGGTCTTTTTTCCCTCTTAGAACTGTTTATTTCACCACCTCCCACTTGTAAAAATAAGTTTGCCCGAATACTAATGATTTTAATAGCTCCGACACTGCACATTTAGCTCTTCATTTCAAAATAGTGCTGATTTCTGCTTATTTTTTATATTTTTATATTTGTACATTTTAGATATACAGAATAAAGCTGGTTATATAGCTCAGTGGCATAAATGACTGCCTGGCAAGTGCAAGGTCCTGAGTTTGATCCCCAGTACCATAAATAAACAAATATAGATTTACATAATAACATGAATCATGAGGTGCTTCATCCTGTACATGACATACCTTGCTGTTTCTTTTTATCCCATTCCCTTCCCCTTGTTTTGACCCCTCTTTTTTTATTTACATGAGCTTTGTTTCTATTTTTTTCCTTCTATTCTTTTTCCCCCCATCCTTTTCTTCCTTTCCTCATACCCCCTCCCTGGTTCTCTTCACTTGAACATTTTCTAAGTACTTCCAAATATCTAGTATACATTCTGTCTTTATTCACACTTCTGATTTCTCACACCAGGGAAACCATGAAATATTTACATATTGTGTCCAGCTGATTTCACTTCAAGAGTAAGGTGTAAAGGTGCATCAGTTTAGACAGAAATATCTCAAGGTCTTATATTTATCTATATTTCCTATATTTAAAATACTCATAACAGGGCTGGCCAAATAGCTCAGCGGATTAAAGTGCCTGCAAGCAGGCGCAGGGTCTGGGGGTTCAATCCCTGGGCCTGCTGTGCTGTCCCCACCCCCGGGGTGTGCTGAGCCAGCAATTGAGACTGGGCATGGTGGCACACGATTGTAATCCCAGCTCTTGGGAGACTGTAAACAGGAGAATCACTATGAGTCCAATCTAATAGTGAGACCCTGAACACCCTGAAGACCTTTCCCTAAAATACTAAATAAATAAAATACCTATACCATTTTTACCCATTCAGTGGTTGATGGGCATTTAGGCTCTTTCCAATATCAAGCTATTATAAACTATGCTGCTATAAATATGGAAATATTGCTGTGGTATGATGCTTTTAATACTTTACAGTGATCCAAAGAAGGGGAATACCTGGGTCATATGGAACCTCTGGTGCTATTTTTGTGTAGAATCTCCACACTGATTTCCACAGCAGACTTTCTTTTTTTCTTTTTCTCTCTCTTTTTTCTTTTTTTGGTATTTAGTACAGAGTCTCACTATGCAGCTTGGACTCATAGTGATCCTCCTGTTTTCAGCCTCCCCAGCACTGGCATTACAAGTGTGCACCACCACACCGGATCTTGGTGACTGGCTCAGCGCATTCAGGGGGGTGGAGCTGGTGCAGCTTGTGGAAAATCCCAGTGTTGTTTTAAGCAGCATCTCTTGAATGACCAGTCATGTTGAACATTTTTTCATACATTTATCTGCCATTTTTACTTCTTCATTTAAGAAGTATCTACTCATTTGAGATGCCCATTTTTGGATTGGGTCTTTAAATTTGGGGAGGCCTGATTTTTTTTTCTTTGAGTACCTATTCTAGTCCTTGGTCTGAGGAACAGCTGGCAAAAAAATTTTCCCACACTGTGGGTTGCCTCATTGCTCTATTGGTAGTTTCTTCTGCTGTGCAAAAGTACTTAATAAAATGAAATCCCTGTTGTTGATTCATTGTGATTTTTGCTCTGCAATTCAGGTTTTGTTCATAAAGTCTTTGCCTATACCAATATTCTCAAGAGTCTTTCAGCAGATGTAGTGTTTCTGCTTTAATATTTAGATCTTCAATCCTTTTCAATTTTGGTTTAATGTGTGTTGAAAGACATGGGTATAGTTTTAATCTTTGGCATGTGGAAAGCCAGTATTTCCAGCACCATTTATTAGAGGGTATCTTTCTTTCAGTGAAAGTATTTGGCTCCTTGGCCAAAGATAAGGTAGCTGACTCTGTCTGGATTTGTTTCTGCATCTTTTACTCTGTTCCACTGATTCTTGGGTCTGTTTTTTTTTCTCCTAGCAGTACCATCCTATTTTTATCACACTAGCTCTGCAATATAATTTCAAGTCAGAGATTGCACCCTGCCTTGCCTTTGTTGCTTAGAATTCCTTTTACTATTCTAGGTCTCCTCTGGTTCCAATGAACTTTAGGATGTTTCTAATACTTTGAGATATGCTATTGGAATTTTCATCAGGATTGCATTAAATCTGTAAACAATTGTGGGAGTATGGCCATTTTCACAATGTTGTTTCTTCCTACCCAAGAACAAGGGATGTCTTTCCATTTTCTGATATTCTCCTTGAGCTCCTCTTTCAGAGTACTGTAGTTTTCAATGTAAAGATTTTTTGCTTCCTTTGTTAGATTGATTCCTAGGTATTTCATTTTGGGGGGTGGTATTGTGAAAGATGTCGTGTCCCTAATTTCTCAGTGAGTTTGTTATCTGTGTACAGGAATGGTATTGATTTTTGAGTGTTTACTTTGTTGTATTCAGCTACTCTCCAGAATTTAGTTATTAAAACTAGAAGTCTTTTGGTGGAGTTTCTGGGGTCTTCTACATAGAGTATCATGCCATCTGCAAATAAGGGTAACTTAACTTCTTCCATTCCTATTCTTTTTTCTTTTTTTTTTTTTTTACAAAACCAATGTTTATTCCTGGAGTCCAATAAAATATTTAAAAATATTATGGTTTACTATATAAATATATGTGTTATTATCCATAGCATTATAAAAGGGAAATCACTACCAGGTTTCACATTTTATTGTTATTTCTGTTTGGTAGCTTTCAGAGAAGAACCTGGCTATCAAGAGAAGTACAGAAATAGGTCCAGGTCTTCTCTTCTACCATGACACAGCTGCCTTCTGTATTCTGACAGGTTCAGCCTACTGCTGCTGTCTGCACAGAGTACTTATCAGGTTTGTCAAATATACCAAACAGAGCGGAGAGCTACAGCACTTCAAGGGTAAGAATCAACTGTTATATAAAGACTTCTAAGCCTAGGATCAGGGAAACTTAACAGTCTGAGAGAACTTCACTATGGCTAAAACTGAGAAGCATTAGAAACAAATATCGATCATTTTACATAAGATTTACAATCATTTTACATGAAATTATAGATTCAAAGTGTCTAATAACATCAAATATGTCTCAGATGCCACAGATATATATAATCTTAAGAACCAAGAGCAATTCATTTACAAAGATTTTTACTTGGCCGGGAGTTGAGTCAAGAAACAACACATCAAGTAACAATTAACGAAGACCTGACTGGTAGTCTTCCGAGTCATTTCATACAAAGGAATCACCAGAGCAGCTCCTGATTCTCAGGCTAGCCAGATGATCTTTGAGTGTCCTGCCACTGACCAGGACATACATTTTACCAGAGGGGTCTGGGCAAGGAGCACCATGCAACAGCCCCATTTGAGTCTCAGCATCCAGCCTCCTAGGCCCTGTCTACCTTATACAGATTCT